AAAAAAAAAAAAAAAAAAAAAAAAAAAAAAAAAAAAAAAAAAAAAAAAAGCATTTATGGTGCCCTCATTGACCCGCCGTCAACTTTGATAGTATATTCCAGACAAAGATGCCTACGCGGCAAGCAATTAAGTATCAATAGGAGAACACGAAGGTTAGAAACAAAAAATGAGTTATGAAATTGGTAGAATGTTCACTTTAAGCTTATATTGGGTCCGAAATTGAATACATTGTCAATTGTTAACGGCCACAACAGTTGCATATATTAAGCAACTACAAAATATCTCAACCGTGTAGAAAATGCGTAAGAACATAGTTCAGCATATAACTTGTTCCTCTACCCATACAAAGCTCTGGAATTACATAAATACAACAATCGACCACTTAATGAACTTTACATTAGTCCTAAACACATGATTTGGTTATCACTTCCACGATTATCATCTTCGTATCATCATGAAAGTTGTTCATGATGTCCAAAAAGAACCATATGATTGATCAGAATTCAAATGAGCCATCAGCTTCACCTAGGGTACATGCTGCGGGGTGAGCGACCTCCTCTTTCACTACCAATTTCGTCGTCAATTTCATGTGCATCTAAACAGAGACCATTATTGTTGACACTCCTTTCAGAACTGGCATTGCTGCTTGTTGCAAGAGGGGAGTCCGAAACACTGACAGTTCGGCTTCGAGATGGCCCAGATCGTACACTATACATTGAAGAAGCTGGAATATTTGTCATCAAGGGGCGTAAGTTACCTGGAATGCTCCGCCTTATATCCTGCTCAAGTCAAGTGTGCAATGTTAAACAAGAATATGCATTGAAAAGAAGTTCGTGCAGAAGTGTGACACTGCTTTGCGCTTGTGAAGTTTATACCAGAATGACGTTGTTAGAAAGGAAAGATAAAAATTTAATTCCACAACAAAAATCCCTTGAAAATAGATGCCATACCATGTGTCGAATGGCCATATCCAGAGACTTCTTAGATAGTGTTCTCCCAAAGCCCAAGCTATCTGGCGACGAGGACTTCCCAGACAGATTCCCACGAGGTGAATGCCTGTCATCTTGCTTGGGAGGCGCCAATTTGCGCATGCTTATTACCCTTTCAACCATTTTTGTCCCTACTAATACAGGACTTATGTTGTCATTAGCTTTAGAATGCATTCGGTTAATTGCAGGGACAGAGCCCCCACTAAAATGAATATTTCCATTAGGTGCACGTCCTCGAGACGGAGAGCATGATTGTCGTCTTGGCCTACTATTTGGAAGAGGTTCAACAGAAGAAGATCGTGCACTAGGTGCTCCAGGCCGACCCCTTGTGACAGAAAGTGGTCTTTCAGGAAGCGATGTTCTTAAATTTGGTGGAGCATCGAGAGAGAAACCTGGCATCTCTGAAGGATTCCATGGTCTGGATTTTACTGTTGGGGAAGTTCCTCTTGACGGTACTTGATTCCTTGACGGAGTTGGAGATGGCTTTGAAATTGATGATGAAGACCTGACTAAGGAAACAGGTGCACTTGATGCACTAGATGGTGTGGAAGGTCGACGAGTAGGAGTTGAGGCCCTTGATGTGGGCTTAGGTGGAGGTATAGTAGCTCTGGAAGACGGCGTCGGCGTTGATGATCTTGCTGTTGTTCTTGTTGGAGTGGAAGATCTTGCGGGAACTGACTTAGCAGAGGAAACAGTGGGCTTAGTCTTAGTAACTGGCTTGGCTGACGCAGCTGGCAGCTTATTTAAAGCTGCTGCAATCTTAGTCGAGGAAACTACTGGTTTATTTGAAGGCAAAATCGCACGGGAAGTAGGTGTTGAGGATCTGGAAGTTCTAGCTGTTGTGGTTAATGTAGGACGTCCAGTTGGGGTAGCAGGTCTCGATCCAGGGCCTCCAGATGATGAAGGCCGACGTATCCCTACACTTGAAGAGTTCAATCCTGGAGAAGAAGCTGGTTGTTTTGAGACCAAGTTGCTCCTCGTAGTAGGTTCTTGTTGGAGATTTGCGAGCTAAACCCACAAAAGGAAAATAACTTAACGACTTTTTCAAAAACAGAAAAAAAATAATAACACAACATTAATAACTGTTACTGAATGCGTGAGGAATGTTAAAAAGAATATCAGTTACGAGCATAAGATCGAAAGTCCACTAGGTGCCATTCTATGTGTCATATGCCAAGCAATTAAAGAATTTAGGTCAGTAAATTTTTCCTTGGCCTATAAACGAAGAATCTAGAGGACTTGCTCCAATTGTTAACAAACTATGACATTGACATAGACATAGACATCTTGGGACAAAACATTAAATCTTCCTATTATCATCTTCCATTGGAAGAAAAAATAAATACTCCGTTGCCTATCTTGAGTCATTTAATTTCCTGATGAGCGAAAGTTCCGGATTCCAGCTTTGTCCTCACTGGACTTCCCAAGAACCAGACTTTCCAAAATGAAAGCAGCATGGAAGGGTGAAAATAACTATATATCTATATTTTTAAGAATCATAGGTGTCAAATCTCAATATATTCAACTTATTGAGCTTGACACTTGGGAAAGAACTTACTCTAGATTTCAGCACATCGGGACGACCCATTGGAGTAGCATGGCTCATTAAGACCCTTTCTGACTCCGTTTCCAAAGATGGAAAAAGAGGAGTTCCAGGAGGAGTTATAAGCCTGAAAACAGATCAAGGTCTGGTTAATTTAACTGGTTCAATTTGCACAAAGTAAAAGTCATGACCAATCATAAAACTACTAGGAAATAGGCATGAACCGTTTCTGAACCCACAAGAATATTTGCAGTAGGCATTCCATTCCTGGAAAATATACTCTTCACTATCGACATGTAAATGAAAACAGCCATGTCCAGACAGAAGCAAAAGGTACTTTCTTGATAACCTCGCTGCATCTACCAACCCCATTCCTTTCCCAGATATGAACATAAAGTTTCAAACAGTAATAAATCTAGCCGACAGGGAGAGTTTCTTCGGGGATCCCTATGATTATAAAGTTTCAATGACCCAAAACTTCATAGTATGTGGCAAGTGGTAATCAACATAAATATTATTCTCTCGTGTCCGATATGTTGACAATGAAATCAACAGTTAAGCAAAATATTTGTTGTTTAAGAAGATTTTTTTTTATATATAGTTGTGGTTAACCTGTGGTTGAATAGACTAACTCACACTCCTGGACTAATCCAATACTATTTAATTTGCTAGATAAATGGCAACCATACATTTGAACCTGTGACCTCAAAGACAACCAAATCCATAGATTGAGACGTCCACCACCAATCAAAGTGGCTTGTTCCAGAAATGAAATTGATCATAAATTTTAGGAATTCTAATTCTGAATCAAGGGTTGATGTCATGCAGTATGAAATTGAAACCTAAATTAGCATCACAACTTGAGAAGGAAGAGCCTCCTTTTCTTTCCATCCCCACCTATTCTACCGTGCCATTGTCATCCTCATCAATAAGCTAGAGCCAAAGGAATGGACCTCATCCATGCAGCGTATTGTCATTCATATCACAAAGCACGTGATGCACAGTCAATAGACCAGAAGATTTAGATAGGTCTGTGTTGTATCAACTAAACGATCGTTAAACTAGAGCAGATATTGTCTGTTAACAAGAGGGTTTCTTTAAATTTGTCTACCCACGTCTTCAGAAACTTCTAAATGCCTATTTCATCGCACAACGTAAAAGAAACTCCTCTATTAACAAGGGTGTAAATCAGTAATGATCAAGTAGAAGTAAAGAGACCTAACAAAATTGCCATTGCAGAAAACTTAACAAATTGGAGATCGTCAACAGATTGGTCCACTCATATCTCTCTCAGATTATAAAAATAACTCGTCAGGGCCACACTCTTTTTCACCATGGTTCCATTTGGGAACACTCTCAAGTCAATTACTGATACTGAGATATTGAGTTTTTCTCAAAACTATTAACGATCAGTTAATCAAGGATAAAAGCAGCAATCTTCTATACGGAGATTTATTCAATAAACTAAAATCAGAAGTGAAAGGTGATAGCTTTACCAATCATAATCATTTTTATCGTTGTCAGAATTAAGAAAATCATCAGCACCAGTCTTGCGAGTAGGGGCTGGGGTCGCTGATGCGATATTAAAAATTGGAGACGTTCCTGGTTTTGTTCCTGCACAAAACAGAAAATTAAATGCGATAAAACGTAATTTCAGTAGAATTAGCAAAAGCATACGTCACAGTGGCTATACCTAAAGGCGCATCAAACTCTTCCGCGTGGTTCGATAAAAGATCATTCCTCTCCTTCTCGCGCTTTCTCATTTCTAAGAACAACGCAAGCTCCTCCTCCTTATCTTTCCTCACCGACGCCCTTAGTCCTCCAGCTTGCTGCTGCCGCTGCTTTACCGGCGCTTGCATTTGTGATTCCGAAGCCCTAAAACTACGATTCATTTTAAAATCCCCCAAGCTTCGTTGTCCAAAAATTTCAAAAATCACAAGCTGCAACACCGAGAGTACTTCAAAGCCAAAAACAAATAAACCACGCAGTTCGTTCACGTTTTCATCTCCCGGAATAACACCCATACCAAAGCATCGCGTCGACAGTACGACACCAAAATGCAAAACCACTTAGATCTGCAACAAAGCTCCCCGACCACAACACTTGAAAGCACAACCTAGTAGGTGAGTATTCCGCATCTAAATTCTCTTCTCCCACCGGAAGACTTTCTTAACTCCAAAAAAACAAAAACAAAAAGTAGCTGTAGAAAGAAAGAGAAACAAAGAGGCGTCGAACTCAGAGAAGCAAGAATGAAGAGGAAGTGCTTGCGAAATCCGCCATTGTCGGTCGTGGATCAAGCTGAGAAAATCGAAAGAGGTGAAATTCAGAGGTGGAACGATGCCGTATGGAGTGCGAAACGGGGAAAATACGAGTGAGCTTATGAACCATGCTTTCCTCTCTCTCTCGCGCCGCTGTGATTCCTCTCACTTCAAGTCTACGTTTTCGTGTTGGGCCTTCTTTTAGGTGGGTCAATATTATACTGGATAATCACGATTTTACCCTTCCTTTTTTTTTTTGCAGATATACCCCTGCATTTCGGCATTTTTCTCTTTTTCCCCTTTTCTTTTCGTATTTAAAATTGAAACTGAAAACAAAGATTCGGAATAGGGTATTGTTTGGGTCTGGTGTCGTGCACCAATCATTCCTTTGGCGGATTTTAAATATATATTTTAGACTTTTTAAATACAAAAATAAAATATATATGGTTTGGTTGAAATTATGTTGTAATATTAAATTTTAATTTTTTAAAAATAAGGTTAATTTTATTAGGATATCTTAATATTCTTCGAAAGAAAATAGTTTTTAAAATTAATAGTTATTATAGTTGAAAATAAAATGAGAAATAAAAGAAAAATTCCCCGCAAATTCTCGAAATTGAAAGGTTTTAGTTGTGCAGGGAAAATGGATGAAATCTGGACGATCCCCATTGTAGGGTTTGCAGTAAAAGAGTGTGGGTTTTCTGTGAAGAACTTGAGGTTTGATCACCCGCTTACTTCGAGGTAACCATTTTTCTTTTCTTTTCTTTTTCGACGGAGTTTTGGGGCTGCAAATTAAGTAGCAAAGAAGACGATGATTGTCTTCCTTAAGGCAATTACGTAGGAAATTCCGCTTTCAGGATCATTCCAAGGAACATGAATCAACCCGACCCCTCGCCGAAAACATGGATCAATTAAATAACTTCGAATAAAACAAACCCTTTATCGTGTTTTTTTGACCAATTGAGCTGTACCCGTCACGATATTAGTTTTCAAATTCTATTTTCAATAGTTTAAGACAATTCTGTACGAATTCGGAGTTGAATATATGGAACTCTGCTATTTCAGACCTTAGATTGATGCAGAAAGCGTCTAGAGACGATAGGTTATATTGGCGTTGCGACGGATATCGGAAATGGCCGGAAAGACGATGAGCGATGCGAGCAGTAGCAATTTCGGTGGCGCGGAGAGAGGGGAAAGTGTTGTTTATGACTGTAGAAGACGAAAATCCTCGTGTGGTTACTGCAAATCTGGTTCTCACGGGAGCATCACTCACGGTTCGATTGATTTTAATTATTTGTTGGGTTATTCTTTGGTACAAATTGCAAATTGTTTTCTGTTTTCTTCTGATTCTGATCTCCGATTTGACGTATTTCTACTGCTTTTCTTTTGTACTGTGGGCTGTGATAGAATTACAAGTTCTGAATTGAACTAACAGTTGCTTTACTCTACCAGTTTTTTTTTTTTTTTTTTTTTTTTTGCATCTTTACTCT